TTATTACATTGCTTAAGAATGAAGCTACACCACTAACACATAACCAACTAATAGTAATGATATGGCAAGTTGACGGGCATCTTGTATTTAATACGGAGTCTAAAATGGAGTAACCCAGTTTAAGATAAAAAATGTTATTCTTAACATCTAATTGTATCATCTCACTGACAGAGATGAGACTCGTATACAGTGGCGGATCCTACCTCTATTAGAGAGATGGTATAAAAGATGGTATAAGTAGATGGCAAGCGTAGCACTACTCGTTTAAGATTGAAACAATGTAAAATCAAGACCAAGAATTTCTTTCGTTAAAACATCAGCCACTTGTTCTTGTGTTGGAACATATTGACTTCCCTCACATTTTTGTACTATTTCTCACAGGAATTATTATTGGTACTCCACAATTCTCATTTTACACTCTAAACTTTCTATAATTAGAAAGAAAAATACACTTATGAGAAGTGTAGAATGAGATATTTAAAGTGATAATAACTATTCCCTTTCTCACAAAATGAAAGTCAATTTCCAAGAGTTTAATTCTAGAATTAATGTTGCACATGTTGGAGCAATATTAGAAAATATGAAAAATAATAATATAATTCCAATGATAATAATCATAAAGAAATTCACAACATCAATTATATATGAGATTAATATAAACAACTAGAGAGAAAGTTAGAATAACTAACAAACTTAGAGATTGAGGCTTGCATAAATGTAATGTCCTAAAGATAGAATTTCGCCCCTACTCTTGTGCTTATAGTTCGGTAGACGTCCATCTCCCAGGATTCAACAATCTATAATCCAAAGTCAAAGCACTTCAATCTTCGGACTCTGGCAAACTTTATATATTCTGTACTCTCAAGACACGACTCGGAATTGACTCACAAAGCATGAGAGAAACAAAGTGGGGAAACCCTATTTCTCAAGAATAAAAATTAACTCTAATTTTCTATATCTAATATCAATGGTTTCATGAGTTTAAATAGAATCTAATTTCTATTTATTAAAGAGATGTAACTTTTCATCTATAAGTATACATCACTTATCAAGGGAATACACCTAAACAACATAACCTTTCTAAGAAATTGGTTAACAATATTTTTCATTCAATTATTAAAATTATATATTACAATATATAATTTTCAACAATCCCCCACATGAATGAAAAATTAGGAAGAATCTAAGAGTACAGGCGGACAAGAGATGCATCAGGAGAGGTGTCTTTTGGATTTGAACCTACCCTAGTGAATACTTATCGGATTTACTTGGTGACACAGTGAATATAGAATCTTGAACTGTTCACCGCAGTAGTAAACCGAGACAATAAGCAACACACACCACTAATCCTAATATATTCCGGTTCATACGGTTATGTTCATTTTGGTCCTGAAAAAATCCCGGATTCATGAGAGCTTTAGAGAATTTAGCCGTCTCATACTCATAGAAGCAACCCACTTCTACTCTCACATAGGTGACCACTAATTAAGAATAGTCCGCTCTATTCCTCTTATTTATAAGATATCACTGTCATTAAGTATAAATATACATCCTAAAACTTCTCCAGACAACACACTTCTTCCACCATAAGAATGAGATATATAGTGTGTTGACTTCTTTGAATCATGCCTAACCAGTTTGCCTATTGAACTTAGACCATAGGATCTTCAATCAATTAAGTTAGGTTTCCGCTCGGCTGATTCATTAGTTGTGTTGGCTTTAGCGTTATTCCCCTCGATGATCAACTTACTCTCTAATCAAACCTTTAATAATTGGTATCACTAAGGTTGACTACTCTTATGGTGTGCACTTCCATATTATGAAATTATATTTCATACGAGAGTAGTTGTTTGACATTGTTTGAAATGTCAAGTCCTCAAAATTTATATTAGGACTTAATTACTAAGTAATTTGCTAACAATAAGCACTTGGGTAAACTCCCCCACATTTAAGGTATTTGTAAGAAGATCTCTAAGCTTGCCATTCTTTAAACAATTACTCATTACAAAAGATGACATCTTAAATGTCATTCAATTAGTAAACTACTTTTAACCAACCCCCACAATTCTTTCATAATTGTGGTTACTTTTAATGGTATCACTCAATTTATCATTTTTTCGTACTTTAAGAAGGAGGAAACAATGAAGACTTTATCTTCATATAATTTGGGCCTTAATGCCTTGCAAGCCGTTTTAGGAAAATCACTTGTTGGCCTTCATCCTTGAGCTTACAAGCTTTCAAAATTGTCACGGGTCTCAAACCCCCACACAAGAATGTTATCTCCTTTTTTTTTTCCTCAGCCCCCCTCAATCCCAATTATCATCTTTCCAAAACAATGTTAATTAATTCATCTCAAAAGAATTTTGGGTTTCTCAAATAACTAATACTCTTGACTTATGGCAATACTCGGTTTGTAGTTGTCATGACATAACTTGTCTTGAAAGAAGTAGTAGGCCATAATCATTCTTGGCACTACAAAGCTAGATCTCTTTGATTTATGGCACCACGTTCTACATGCCTTCTCATTCAAACGATGACAAATGTTGCATCCTTTTAACAACCTCGACACCATATAGTGATAGACAGAAACCATATCATCAGGTTCTTCAGTCCCAAAGTCCAGATGGATTACATTTTGCCTCTTTCTGATTATTAGGTTTCCTCAAGAAAAACTGATCATTAATCATCCTTAGTGCCAAATCACAAAAGGTAAATATTACCGTAAAAAAAAAAAAAAACCCATTGTTTACAGTATAAACAACTTTTTCACCGACTGGTATAAGAATGCACAAGAAAATTCATCATGAACCGTTGGTGGATTTTTGAATTCCTTAATGAGTGAAGACGTCTCACATATTTTCTAGGAATTCTCAAGATTGAGCAATAGAGGTCATTCATTTCTGCAGAAGGAACTTTATGCACGAACTGGGCATGATTCCCAATACCAAATTAACATCAAATTCAAATCCAATACAACATTGTGGTCATCTCTAATTAACTAGATAATGTAGATTTTGTATCATATCATTTATTTTCTAACAGAAGATAAACATGGCCTTTGAAAAGATATCTCATATGCAAACCAATTAACAGAAAACGATATGCCTCGTTTTAGGAAAGCTTTTATGTATAGCAAATGTATATGGTGGTTGTCCATGAATATTCATATCAGTTCGTGCATAAATGACAAACAAAGGATATAATAGTCTGTATAAAACCTAGCAGGCTTCAAATATCGATGACCAAAACTTCGCTAGTTATCCTCATAACCAACACTAGTATATAAACAGAATGTAACCACCAAATGAAGGCATGCATAAATGTCTAAGTCAATCTAAATATGAGTCTAAATGCTGCAACTATTAACGTCAGTCAACAAAGCATTTATATAATTAAATAAATAACATGGCAGTAAGTATTTTAGTAAAGTAACCGCATGCACCCCTTCAAGCATGCTTTCAGAAATAAGAACAATCACAGCAACGTTTGCAAAAGATACATTACCTATTGCATTAGACTGGACAAATTGCAATTATAACAACCTCATGCCATGTTAAATAAATAAATATAAATACACACACACACACACACACGAATGGACAGAATAATCATTCATCAAGAATGTGTAGTATAAGGCAGCGGTACTGCACTTTCAATATCAGATTTATACATATCAAGTCATCAGACTTTTCCAAAATCTGTCACATAAATTGCACACGCACATTCATATTTCTAATTGTTCCATAGGGATAAAAATTCTATCTTTAGAAAGAAGTAAGGGCAAAATTTTGTCTTATGTGCATTTATACAAGCACAAGAGTAGGGGTGAAATTCTATCTTTAGATTGTTGGAGCAATATTAGAAAATATGAAAAATAAAAATATAATTCCAATGATAATAATCATAAAGAAATTCACAACATCAATTATATATGAGATTAATATAAACAACTAGAGAGAAAGTTAGAATAACTAACAAACTTGGAGATTGAGGCCTGCATAAATACAATGTCCTAAAGATAGAATTTTGCCCCTGCTTTTGTGATTGTAGTTCGGTAGGCGTCCATCTCCCAGGATTCAACAATTTATAATCCGAAGTCAAAGCACTTCAATTTTCGGACTCTGGCGAACTTTATATATTCCGTACTCTCAAGACACGACTCGGAATTTGACTTACAAAGCATGAGAGAACCAAAGTGGGGAAACCCTAGTTCTCAAGAATAAAAATTAACTCTAATTTTCTATATCTAATACCAATGGTTTCCTGGGTTTAAATAGAATCCAATTTCTACTTATTAAAGAGATGTAACTTTTCATCTATAAGTATACATCACTTATCAAGGGAATACACCTAAACAACATAACCTTTCTAAGAAATTGGTTAACAATATTTTTCATTCAATTATTAAAATTATATATTACAATATATAATTTCCAACAGCACAAGATTTAAACACAGAGCCATAACACGTGTCATATTATAAAGGGTGGTCTATCCACATACCATCTTTTACCTCCCACACATACCCCGTCAACTTTTGTCCTTTGATCATTTTCAATTCATTCGTCGGATAGCTAAAAATTGAGAGTGGTGCGTGAAAGGTGAAAATGGGCGCGTGGATAACACCATTTTATTACAAAACGTGTCATAGTTTATACGCACTTTAAAGTAAAAACTTGTTTTCTTACTCGTACAATAAACGTAGGCTGAGTATATATACCACGCGGTGTTGTTTATAGTAATTACATGGGATCAAGTAATTGCAAATACAAAGAGATCAAGAGCAAAGAGTGTTTAGATCATCAACTACGTATGACTGCATTATGCTTTCGTCCTTATCTGGACTACTCTCATACTTTATTTAATTATTTGTTTATTGTCCGAGTCAGACTCATGGAGACTAAGGAGAAGCATGTGTACATGAACTCATCCAACATTATGTGTGGAAGAGTCCTATATATATTGTGGTTTTGTGCTTAGCTAGGCAAGCCAGATAGAGACGTAGCAATAATGAATAAGGCTAGTCTTGTCCAGTGCTCGGCAAACTACATACCCTTGTCGCCTATAAGCTTCTTAGAACGAGCTGCTGTTGTCCATGGCGATAAGATTTCGATCGTTTACGGTGGAGTGAGATTTTCATGGCAGCAGACGCTTGATAGATGTCTCAAGGTCGCCTCGGCTTTCGTCCACTTAGGGATATCTCGCCATGATGTTGTAAGTAGCATATTTCTAATATTTTATGACATGAGTATACATAGGGATTTCACTGTATTTGATTTCATTATATTTTTAGTTTCAAGCATTGTCATTCTAGTTTGTATATGATTTTAGTGTTAAATTAAAAAATTTGAATGTTACACATATACGAATATATCTTTATGTGAGTATCTTACTCATCATTTAGTAAGAAGATAATTTTCTTTTGTTACAAGTAGTGTTTGCTTTTCAACACAAACTTGTACCTCAAGGTCTTCTAACAATTAAGATCACATTACATTTTGTTTTGAGTTTCATGGAAATTTGATCATCAATATAAGCCATGGCGATGGAGATCGATCTAACTTGCTAGCTAGCTCACGGCTAGCTAGTCACCAACGACTCCGACTGTAATAAGTCAAGAATTTATTGGTTTTTATTTAGTATTTAAATATTGGTCATAATCTCAACGATGGACTCAATATTATAAGACCGATCTCAACGACGGACTCAATATTATAAGACCGATCTCGACGACGGACTCAATATATTAAAAGACAAATTAGTTAATCAATTTTGTAAATCAATGGTGGTCATTTTTTCTAAGTCGATGGTGCCAAATGACCAAGTCGCAACTTGATCATGCATCTTGGCGTGGATGCTGGGTCAATTGGACAACGCCCATGAAGAACCAAGATCGTGGAACCACCAAAGTAACATGCATGGTGAATCATCTGCCAATCTATGCATTAGTCGACTTATATATATATATATATATATATATATATATATTATTTTTAAAGCTTTTTATTCAAAATGATTTTTGATATTGGTATAACTTTTCATTTTAGTTCCTAACCATGAAAATCAATATAAGTAGTCTCTGAGTTTGTCCACTGTAAATCATTTTGGTCATTCCATGAAAAATCTGTCAATATCCTCATTAAATTGTCACGCGAACGACCCCAGGACCATCTTTTAAGAGTATTTTCATCAAACCAACTTCTTTACTTAACAAGGATATTGACTGATTTTTTACAAAATGACCAAAATGATATACAATGGATAAATTCAGAGACCACTTCTATCGATTTTCATTGTCAGATACCAAAACAAAGAGTTATTCACATCTCAAAAACCATTTGGACTAAAAAGGCTTTTTTAAATAAAACTACACATCCCATTTCAGTTAATATAAAACACTTGGTAGCTAATAGTTTAGAAACAACTCTACGTACGCTTATATATATGTGTATTTGTTTCTTGATTATTCTTTACTAAGGGTATCTCAAATTTGAAATGAAAGTCTTGTATATAAATTGCTTAAAAATATGGAGTCTCTTTCTCTTTATTATCAGATGTCATCATCTTAGGGAGGTTGCAATGTCAGCTATCCTGATAAGTAAGTTTATCAAGTTCTTAGTAAAGACTTAATGCCCGTTTGGAGTTGCTTTTCGGCGTCAACTTTTGTTTTGTTTTTTTTCAAATTTATCGATAGCTATTAAACTCTCTCTAGAATCTTATGATTGTTTTGAATATACAATCTATACATGTGTGTGTGTGTGTAGCTTGAGCAAGCTAGTTTTCGTAGTCGCTAAAGAATAAGATTGTATTTGATCATAAAGAAATATGAGAAACAGAAAAGCTCTCAATTCGTCTTCTTTCATTTCTTTCGTTTCGACAATTTAGTTCCAATTCAATTACAACCTTTCACCCATTATTAATTGATTAATTTTAGGTTAAATGTTCAGTTCAAGTGTGTCATAGGACTCTTTAGTCGTTGCATGTAGAGAATTATGTGTAGAATCCTCATGTACTCACATGTTTTCCTAACACGTACTGATATATGCTAGTTTATTCAAGTGTGTCATAGGACTCTTTAGTCGTTGCATGTAGAGAATTATGTGTAGAATTCTCATGTACTCACATGTTTTCCTAACACGTACTGATATATGCTAGTTTATGCTCTGTCATTGAAATTAATTCGTGCATGAGTAGATGTTTGTTGTGTATTGCTAATTTTATTCCCATTTGTAGATTTAATTTGTGCGTTGTATGTGCGTTTATTTTCATCTTCCAGACCTCACTAGGCCGACAAAGATAAATGATAGATAAAACCACAAAAACCCTTCCACTAACTTATTGAGAATAAGAATTCAATGGAAACACAAACAATTTGAGTCTTGACCAAACCAACTAAAACCCAAAGAGCTTACGTTGCATGCGATACACGTATTCACGCACTTCCAAAATAAGGGGGTCTCAGACTCTCAGTTCTCAAACTTTCTCTCATATTCTACTGGTCCTGTTTAAAAATTAGCATGTTGCTAAGGCTATATATATGTGTGTGTGTATGAGGCAGCACATCGACCAGAACCAGTGACATAACTAGTGTGAAATACATAATCAAAACTTCTCAGTATCATATAATAAACCGAATTGGAGAAAGAAAAATCTCCACTTATAATCTTTAGTAGTTGGAAACAGTCATAAGCCATTTTAACATATAAGATAATTTAAGATCGTCTTGTTTTATTCTTTCCTTGTTAATTAATTTGAAGTGGGATTATGTCAAAAGCTAATCACTTTTGTGTTGATGGGCTCTTAATTAGGAATATTAATGTAAACGTTTGAATTGTACTGCAATATTGCATTATAGAGGGTAGTACATCAAACTCAAAGTAGTACACAGACCCAAAGTCAACAGAAAAAGCTTGCATATCCTTGTTAATATACACTAGTTGTCTCCGTCTCATGATCACAATCTTGAAAGGGACTTGAATACAGATTCCGGTTATTAATATAATACTTATTCAAAGCATAATCAAGAAAAAAATATATATATATCTCAACTGTAGAATACACATGTTTTTGTTCTCTCTCACATACCATGATAGAAAAAATCTGTGCGCGCAAATCCAACTAAGTGTTTTTTATTGCACAACTGATCACTTGGATATATAAACTAATCACGTGGTCTAAATACCTATGTAGCACCTTAGTATTGGATCAAGAAATAGCAAAAAGTTCTTACCCGCTACATAAGATACGGCGATTTTTGTATAGCAGGATGAGCCAACACTCGACCTGATTACTTAAAACAGTGTGTGTGTGTGATGTAACAGTAGCTGCTAATCATTTAAAATGTTTAAATTTCTTCCCTGACCAGGTTGCAGCTTTTGCACCAAACATCCCAGCACTCTATGAGTTACATTTCAGCATTCCAATGGCAGGAGCAGTCCTTTGTGCACTTAACATTAGGCTGCACGCACCCGCATTAGCTTCGATATTACAACAATTGGAAGCCAAAGCCATTCTTGTAGATCATCAGTACCTTGGAGTTGTCCTCCGAGCACTTGACATTTTGTCCCAATCAAACTCCAACTCCAAGCCACCTCTCCTCATTCTAATCCCAGAATGTGACCAATCATCATCATCTTCCCATACTGATCTTGATCTTCCATCAGGTGCCCTAAATTACAATGACCTACAGGAATCAGCAGAACCCGGTTTTCAGATTCTCAGACCCAACAATGAGTGTGACCCGATTTCAGTGAATTACACTTCAGGGTCAACAGGTAATCCCAAAGGAGTTGTGTACAGCCACAGAGCTGTGTACCTGAATTCACTGGGAGCAATTTTTCAGAGTGACATGAGAAAAATGCCTGTTTTTCTATGGACGGTCGAAATGTTTCGGTGCAATGGGTGGTGCTTCCCTTGGGCTGTTGCTGCTCTTGGTGGCACCAATATCTGCCTAAGAAGTGTCTCAGCCAAAGCCATTTTTGAAGCAATTGATCTTCACAAGGTAACACACTTATGTGGTGCACCCTCTATATTAAACATTCTAGCAGATGCCTCAGAAAATGGTCAAATTAGGGTTACAAAATCAAGGGTGGAGATTATTGTTGCTGGTGCATTGCCAGCACCGGAGATTCTGATCAAGGTTACAGAATTAGGGTTTAATGTGAGCCATGGATATGGCATGACCGAGGCTCTTGGTCCGGCAATTGTCACACCATACAAACCCAAGTTGGAATCACAGTACAATCTAATGATGGAAGGTGTTGATGTGAAGGATCTGAATAGTATGGAGAGTGTGCCATATGATGGAAAAACAATGGGGGAGATTATGTTAAGAGGCAACACTTTGATGTTGGGATATCTGAAAAACTCAAACCCTAATCATGAAGTTTTCAAGGGCGGATGGTATAGGACTGGTGATCTGGCAGTTCGGCATTCAGATGGATACATTCAGATGAAAGATAGGGCAACGGACATTATAATTTCGGGTGGGGAGTCTATAAGCACACTTGAGGTGGAGGCAGTTTTGCTAACTCATCCACAAGTTTTGGAGGCTGCTGTTGTGGGGAAACATGATGAGGTTTTGGGGGAGACACCTTGTGCTTTTGTGAAGTTGAAGGAGGGTTTTGGTGGTGGTGGTGAAGAAAGTTGTAAAGAGATTATGAAATTTTGTGAGGAGAAATTGCCTGTTTTTATGGTTCCACAAGCTTTCGTGTTTGGGGATTTGCCTAATTCTACTGGGAGGGTACAAAAGTTTGTTCTAAAGAAGAAGGCCAATCTTGTGGGAAGCCAAGAATAAGATGCCTAATCTCTTCTATGGGCACTTACAATTCGCAAACAAGTTTGTTGTAGACTCTTTGTTATATATGCATGAAGCTTCAAGAATTTGGGATATGAATGATTTGTATTCAGGCAAAGATTTCTCTGGAGAATGCTCCTTGGACCTCAGCACAGCTCCTCAAGGGATTGTCACTTTGGATGTGTAATCGGGCTTTTAATTATTGATATGCTACAAGAGTAGAACAAAGTTAGTTTTGAAAGGTACTTTTGTGGGGCCTTAGGTGTAGGCCTTGAGGCTCGCAATCAAAACTAACTAAGTGCTTAGGCGTGCCACTACTATCTTAGTATAACAGATGTTGAATAAGTGTGTTTTAAGTTGATTACTTGCACCCCAAGTTACTCCAACTTCTTGTTATCAAAGGATTGTCACAGATGGGTTAAGTCTGTATTAAGTTCTTTTTCTTGCCTTGTAAACAAGAACTTTTAGTTCATGGTCTTATATGTTTGAATGAAGGGAGTTCAGAGCCCCTTAAGTCATGTGTTTAGTTCCAAATTACTTTTAATGAAAATATTTTCATCAAGCTAACCAGATCCAAATATAAATGAGACTCTTAAAACAGAAAAACAGGTGGAAACAACTTGAATATATGCTAGATAATGCATTAAGCAATAGATATACTAATTTAGAAAGTAAACAAAAAGCTTCGGGGCAAGATTTAACCTTGTCTGGGAAGGTTGAACTTCTTGCAGTCACTTCTCTTTGAATTTACAGGGTTTATATGCTAAAAAAGGATGGATGGTAAACAAGTTTACACAAGGGAATCGATATTACAACACTAAGGGAGGTAGCAGAGCTTTTATACTAGACAAGAGATAGCTTTTTCAGAGAACTATCGCTAAAAATGACTGAATCTAGGTTGATTTCAACTTTTGGATGCAAATCTAGCTTGAGAGCAAAGTTTGTTTGATTGGTTAAGTGTCCTTATCTCTATTGTCTCTTCTTCCTTTTATAGGCAGTTTGGCCTGGCTGCTGTAACTTTTGCTCTTGCCCGAAAGCACTTGGAGGGTAGTGAGTCATCAACTTTTTATTTGTAATGTCACTGGAAAGTATTCTTTGGCTGATAATAGGTTAGTCTCCATCACTTGTCACTTCACTCATAGACAAGTGGCTTGTTTCTTGGCTGAGAAAGTTTCAGTTTAGTCCTAGGCTTGATGCTGGGCTTTGGGCAAGTCTTCCTTTAATTTGACATCTTTGGGCTTTCCTTCACTTAAGCCCAATATTCAAATATTAAGCCGAACAATTTGATCTTATTATTTGTTCATACTACTAAGTTTCTTAGTTGGATGTTTTATTTATTGAAATTACAATAGTGGTTCGCTCTATTTGGATATCAGAGATACATTAATGGGTCAATCGATGCAAAGCTTTCATTGCGAACTCATACATGAGTAGTTTGTTAGAATACTTAGAACATTGCTATTGTTAAGTATACTGGGTGCTCCTCCTTCTACATCTGATGAATAAAATATAGAACGATGCTGACATCAACAAAAACAATCAATTTATAATATAAACATATCAATCGTATTGTCCGACGGCCTCCCATATATATCAAATGAATAATAGCGTCACTTAACAATGTTTCCAAATTTCTCATCGTAGAAGCCGAATGACATTTGACTATTGAGTTATCTAAATTAAATTCTTAAAAGTTAGATAGGAAAAATAAATAAACAAAAATATAGAACAAAGAATGCAAAACTCCCAAAACCAACCCAACCCAACAAAAAGGCAGCAAGGTCCAAGAGGCCGGCTAAAAAGGGATATACTATAAACCCATAAAATTAAACTTGGAAAGTTAGGTTGTGTGTCGTGATCTTTCAGCTGTTGGACCTTATGATTGAGCTATTTCTCGGTTAAGTATCGTGTTAAACAAAAAAAATAAAAAAGATTCTGAAACCCTCGCCGTCCTATTAGAGACCAAGAAATCCTTATTACGAATTACATAAAACATTTATTTAATATTATTACGTGATATGACAAAGATATATGTATTATAATATTAGTGACACTCAAATTTTCGTCTAAAGAAGTTCTTAGCGTTAATGTCAATGAGAAATTAGTATGTACCAACTTTACTTTCGAATTTTAATTGATTGCTCTACACCAATGGCCACATGTATGTACTAGCTTTTGTACCAATGGAGTATTTTTTAGTAATGACAATATGTTGGTCATATATAGATGGCATAATGATTACATAATAAATGATTATATAATGAGGACATAATAAAAAATGTTCATTTCTGCTACCAATGTCAACATATATTTATTGTATCTAATTGTCCTAAAACTTAAACTTGAGATACAATTGATTGAAGAAGAAAACACTACACACTAGAGCAATACCCAACTCGCACTACATCATTTTTTCAATTATATCAATCTAAATACGCAACGGGCCACTAACTAAATATCAAATCAAATACAAGTATATACGTTATTGTTAGCTAAGTCAAACTTTCTCCGGTAAAAGTGATGAAGAATTCCATTAATAACGAGGAATTCGAAATTATTATAGTAATTTAAGAGATTGAAGGGTTTTGAACTATGAATGTCCAAGTAAAATCTCAACATTTTATTCACTAAAATGTTAGACCACTGCAAAAGGAATTCACTAAACTGTATACAACCCGTAGTACATATTACCAAATTCCTTTTCTTTAATAACGCTACTGTCGAGTATAGTGGAATATATATGTGTGTGTATATATATATATGTATGTATATATATGGATCTTTATACTTATAATTTGAGTTGATCACTTTGTTCAGTACTACCCTTCATGCATGCGCTCACGAGCATGCATAATGCATTTTTTAAATCATGGTATGATACGCACGACGTACGCATTTTACATGTATTTATATACGTAAATTGACAAAGTAAATGAATAATCTTAGATCATGCTAGAAGAAACCCCTCATAAACTAATTAAAGCAGCTGAATTCACATAATAAAATCAATCTCTATAGAATTTACATTAAGAATAGAGAAAATAATATTTAATAAGCAATTGATTGAATCACATTATTGTTAGCCCATTGTGAGGCTGCCCACCCCGCTCTTCCTTAGTGTAGATAATATTATTTGTTAAAAAAAAAAAAAATCATTTGACAACTAATTTAATTACATTATTATGCATGTGCGAAAGAATTTTTTTATAACCGGCATTACACGGCTCTTAAGATGTTTTGAACGAGTTTAAAAATAGAGAAAATAATATTTAATAAACAACTGATTGAATCACATTATTACTAACTCATCGTGAGGCTAATCCCACAACCCTCTCCCTTAGTGTAGATAATATCATTTGTTAAAAAAAAAAAAAAATAATCATTTGACAACTAATTTAATCACAATATTATCCTCGTGCGAAATACTTTTTTTATAACATGCATTACACGTCTTTTAAGATGTTTTGAACGTGTTTAAAAATAGAGAAATTGAATTACATTATTACTAGCTTATTGTGAGATACAAATTTTTTTTTTTTTAAAAAGCACAAAAAAAAATTAATTATTAAAAAAACACGGTTAAAATGACAAAAATGCCATTACCTTATTTGATGCATTATTTTGGGATACTTTTGAAGTTTTTTGTCTTGGGAGCATTAGTGTCCAAATATTTTTGTTGAAGCTTGGTGACACTAAAAGCACTATTCACCTTTTGTGTTGGCTTTATATATAACTAGTCTTCATGCACGCGCTCATGTGCGTGCATGAGACATTTTTTGAATTACAGTAGGCTACGTGCTACTCACACGTTTTTAATGTATTTATATGCGTAAATTGACAAAAGAAAAGTCAAATATTTGAAGTAAATGAATAATCTTATATCATGCTAGAAGAAACCCTCATAAACCAATTAAAGCAATTGAATTCACATAAAATTGATCTCTATAGAATTTACATTAAGAACAGACAAAATAATATTTAATAAACAATTGATTGAATCATATTATTGCTAACCCATTGTGAGGCTAAACTCACCCTCTCCCCCTTAATGTAGATAATATCATTTGTTAAAAAGAAAAAACAATCATTTGACAACTAATTTAATGTAATTTAATCACATTATTATCCGCGTGCAAAATACTTTTTTTATAACCGGCATTACATGTCTCTTAAGATGTTTTGAATGTGTTTAAAAATAGAGAAATTAATATTTAATAAACAACTGATTGAGTCACATTATTGCTAACTCATTGTGAGGCTAAGCCCACCTCTCCCCCTTAGTGTAGCTAATATCGTTTGTTAAAAAACAAAAAAAATCAATCAGTTGCCAACTAATTTAATGTAATTTAATCACATTATTATCTGCATGCAAAATGTTTTTTTTTATAACCGGCATAACATACTTTTTAAGATGTTTTGAACATGTTTAAAAATAGAGAAAATAATCTTTAATAAACAATTAATTGAATCACATTATTGCTAACTCATTGTGAGACTAAGCTCACCCATTCCCCCTAGTATAGATAATATTGTTTGTTTAAAAAAAAAAACAAAAATAAAAACAATCATTTGATAATTAATTTATTCACATTATTATCCGTGTGCAAATGACTATTTTTATAATCGGCTTTACACAACTCTTAAGATGTTTTGAACATGTTTAAAAATAGAGAAATTGAATCATATTATTATTAGCATATTGTGCGGTACCAATTTAAAAAGAAAAAAAACCACAAAATAATTACTTATCAAAATAATAATAAACTCTTGTCTTATTTGATGTATTATCTTTAAATGCATTGGAAGTATTTTATCTTAAAACCATTTTTGTCCAAACACTTTTGTTGAAACTTGATGACATCAAAACTACCATTCACCTTTTCCATTGGCATAATATATAGATAGATTCAGAATCAAACCGCAAATTCAACGCCATACCCAAGTCAATGAACCCAGCAGACTCAGTTACTCTACCCGAACCATGCTCCAAACCATCATGGCTCTCAGCTCCAACTCTGTTTCTATTCCTAATCATCCCCATTTTTGCTGCAACCCTAGTCTACCAACTTGACTCGTTCGACCCGGCCCCCCTGCCGTTTCAGGAGTTGACTCGGCACTTGATCAAGACGGCCCCAGCTCAAAACCCTCACATGCTTCGAGGAGCTGAGCGTGTTGGGTTTGGAGTCCTGGCGGGGCCTGAGGACGTGGCTTATGATAAAAGGTCGGGGATTATTTACACAGGATGTGCAGATGGGTGGGTGAAGCGAGTCAAGAGGAACGAGTCGGAGAGTCCCGAGTTTGCGATAGAGAACTGGGTCAACACGGGCGGCAGGCCGCTCGGACTCGCTTTCGGGCATCACGATGAGGTTCTAGTGGCTGATGCCGACAAGGTTAGTCAGTAAAATATAGACAACTTTCCAAATATGTCTAATCGGACTTTCAGTGGTCCCATAAGCGGGCTCATATATATAAATTAATGTTATAATTTTTGTGTCCGTTCAAATAAAAAAATTTACACTCTTATTTTTTGAACTTTTGCTTATAGTATTTTGTTAATCATATTAGTTATAGTTGCTTCAACGAAAGAAAGAAGTTTTTCAAAATTAATATTAATCTTACCTTCGATTGACTATGTAACAAAAAGCATTAAATGAGTTAGCTGTTTTACCAGTTAAAATGAATTGGAAAAATTAGATTACGTAAACTTAATTAATACATTTACATCTAAAAACGCTTGAAGTGTAATATCTAAGTAATGTTTGTATCTTTATTCTTTTGATATTAATTTTTAATGATATTTGATGTAGAAATAAACTCTTTCATGTATTTACTGAAATTTTTTTTGCACATATCAATATACAAAAGATCGAGACTCGGAAAACTTTAAAACCTCACTTTAAAGGCTCGTTGAGGCCTCCAAATTCTCAAGCCCGGCCTTGAGTGGTCCTAAGTGGTCCTAATCTTTGTATGAATGGTCTTTAAAAGGTAACTTTAATAGATAAACACTCCAAATCAGATTACTTTCTATGCAACTTTAAGAACAAAAAAAATGATTCACATATGGGGTGTGTTTTGTTGTACCATATTTGTGTATCACTATATAGCCCATACGAGCTATGTAAAAGCTACACCAATGTGGACATAACCCAACTCATGATGAACTACGATATAGCCTTGTATTAACTGTGTTATGTGGTTTATGGTTGCATCTAAGTTGATCCAAGAGCAACTTGATTTTGTGAATCAACATGTTTCATAAGCAGTTGTTCTCCTTTACATGATGACATGGCATTATTTCACTATGCAAATGTTATAATACAAACATTCATTCTCAAAAGCATCTATTTACTTTAGAGACCGTTTAACCATTTATATATGTCAAACAAATTGACTTTTATGATAAATTGATAATAAGCAATATCTTCTTTATTTATCAACTTGTTTCATATGAATGACTAAATGATCTTTAAATCGAATGAAATTCTTTAGATATTTAGATGGAGAATCAACTGTTCATAATATAACATTTGCATGGTTAAATGATGCCGCATCACCTTATAACTCATTCATATAAAAAGTCAAACAATGTCTATCTAAATGTATTAAGGGAGAACACTAATTTTACAAAGCTTTTAAAATTTCAAAGTTTACCTTTTATAAACTAGAATTCTAAAAAATTACAAGTGACAAATAGTGGATTGCCCTAATGAGTAAGGTATTCTTTTTAACCCAATGCTTCCCGTGTTTGAATTCTCCCCTCTCCTAGTGTAGATTAGAGTAGTGTCATCGTTTGTATTTCAGATAAGTGAAAAAGATACAAGTGACTTAACCAAGGCTAAACTAGCAATTCAAACAATTTTCAATGAAAATTTTAAACTTGAATTTGAAAATAGAACTCTCGTAGTTGGTGGTTAGCTTCCCTTCTTTCTTTGAATAATTTTTTAAAATAAATAAAATCATTTTTTTAACTAACATAATTTAATATTAAAAAATCAATTGATATACATGTGAGGACGTGTCAAGGGGCTAGAGTCTACTAATTATATGTTTGTAAAGAAAGGTGACTTACATTTTTTTTAGCTTCTCACACATCCCTCTTTACTTAGGGTTATCAGATTGAATAGAATGTCAAACTAAAAAATTAAAATGTTACTGGTTCATTTTTAAGATATTGTATGATAATGTATCCAATGAAGGCGTAGTATGTAGTGGATAAAAAGGCATTAGACAAGGTACATTATCTATAGTATAGTATAGGGTGTGCTATCCACACACCATTTTTTACTTCTTTTACATCTCTTGTTAATTTCTGTCATTTGAATTTTTTCAATTCATCCGATCCGACGATCGAAAATTAGAAGAGTGTGAGAGCAGTAAAATGGGGTGTGTGAATATCACACCCCTATAGTTTATACAAAATAACAAAATCTAGTGTATGGCAGGGCTTGCTGAACGTAACAAGTGAGGGTGAGGTAAAGCTGCTGACAGACAAGGTTGAGGGTGTAAAATTTTCACTGACGGACGCTGTAGATGTCGCAGTGGATGGAATGATTTATTTCACAGATGCTTCATACAAATACAGCTTAAAAGACCATGTTTGGGACATTTTGGAAGGCCGGCCTCACGGAAGACTCATGAGCTACGATTCAGCAACCAAACAGACCACAGTGATGGTGCGTGATCTGTACTTCGCTAATGGAGTGGTGGTTTCACCGGATCAGAGTCACGTAATCTACTGCGAAACCCCAATGTACGTTGTTAGTGTACAACTTTTGCATGCGATCGATTTGAGCTTGTCCAATTCATAAATTGTTGTTCCAATGCATAATGTAAACTGATAACCTGATACTAAAAACGTAACATGTTAGGCTGTCTTTCTGTTTATACGTACTACAGGAGGAGGTGTACAAAGTATTACATACAAGGTCAGAAAAAGGGAAGCGTGGATACTTTTATTGATCATCTTCCAGGGTATCCTGATAACATAAGATATGATGGGGAAGGCCGTTACTGGATTGCATTGTCCTTGGTAATTAGTAGATTAAGACTGTTATAAACCACTTCGCATTTATGCCCTTTAAGCTTCTAACATTACCTAGGAAAGGGCTCAAAATTGATCAATTTTGAATGCAGGCGCCTTCATTGGCATGGGATTTGGCTGTTAGGTATCCTTCCATAAGAAAAGTGATGGCAATTATGGAGAAATACAAATTAAGACCCAGTGTGGAGAAGAATGGTGGAGTTCTGGCCGTTGATTTAGAAGGAAATTTGATTGATCACTACTATGATCCAAGATTGTCGATGGTTTCAAGTGGCATCAAGATTGGTAATTACATTTACTGCGGTTCGATACTTCACCCTTACATGCTCCGCCTTAACATTCAAGAAAACCCACCAGTTGCAGCTATCACATGAGGAATTTCAGCCGGGTGGGCGTTTGATTGTAGCAAAATCTCAGCACTTCATATCTCGTTTTGTGACATTTGCTTGTGTTATATACATTATAGTCAATCAGTTCATTACTATCGTATTTTCTAAAGGAGAAATAATGACACATAAGGTTATAAGGGCTAAAAGAGTTATTGATGCTCAACTCAGTTACTTCTGAGAGTGTTTGTATGTTTGTATTTATAGAGATGAATTACATCAAAGAGTTACAAGAAGCACTGATTACAAATAATTATTCTATATAAATCCCCAAGTATTAGAGATAATACAAGAGTATATCAGATGAAGAGTTGAAAATGAATCACAACCCGTAGCAGCAGCATCTTTAGTGGAGGTGGAGTTGGAGTGCATGTAGGGTGATCAGCTGGGGTAGGGATGGGCGAGATATTGGGAGTGGGTAAAGGTTGAGTTTGGGTAGGATGATGTGGTAAGGTGATAGGGTTTAGGCGGTGGGAATTATTAGGTGATGGGATAGAGGTAGTAGGTGGCAGTATGGTGTCTATGTTTATCACGTTAGTGGAGGGAGAATGCAGAGCCGGAGTAACAGCCATATCCTTATGGGGGAAAACATTTTACATCAAAAATAACATGGTGAGACATGAAAATTTTTCCCTTGGAGGGATCAAAACAACGATAACCCTGTTGATTTAAGGAATAACCAAGAAAAATACACTTTAGACCGAAATTTAAGTTTGTTTTGATTATATGGTTGAAGATACAGGGAACATGAACAGCCAAAAACTTTAAAAAAATCATATTGTGGAGGGGTGGAAAATAATTTTTCAAAGGGAGATTTATTATGCAAAACTTTGGTGGGCAAACGATTCATCAAATAATTTGCAGTGTGAAAAGCTTCTACCCGAAACGTGACAGGTATTGATGCATGAGCAAGTAAAGTAAGTTCAATTTCAACCAAATGTCGATGTTTACGTTCTGCAAGTCTGTTTTGTCAGGGTGATGAGGACATGTGCCATGAGATGTTAAATAGTTTTTGTTTATACCATACTTGACCAATCCCAAAATTACCAAGCACCAATCAACTTTGTACCTTCAAGGATTCACTGAGGGGTCATGCTGAGGCACCCCTGCCGAAGGACAAGAGTTTTCCCTCCAACCAGGAGGCCAATCACAGCACGACACATGTCAATGTTAGAATAAAGTTCATAGAGTCCCACATCGACCGCGGACAAAATATGAAGACTCTCCTCAAGTATAAAAGAAGATCATTCTCCTAGAATGAATCCCTAATGTCATTATTGTACTTAAACTAGTCTTTAGAACTCACTAATGATGATTATGCTTGAACCTATGTATTTGTGTAAACCCTTCACTATTAATGAGAACTCCTCTACTCTGTGGACGTAGCCAAACTTAGGGTGAACCACGTACATCTTGTGTTTGCTTCCCTATCTCTATCTCTTTACATATTTATCCTCATTAGCGATCGGAGCAACCGAGTGATGGTCACAAACTTGACACTTTACGTTGTTCCAAAATCTTCACTGATTTTGTGCATCAACAGTTTTTAAAAATTATGACTCATATATTCGCCACCTCCATCGGTTTGCAATGATTTTATTTGCCTACTAAACATATTTTCAACAAGTTTCTTAAAAGAAACAAAAGCATGAAACACTTTGGATTTAAGTTTCAAAGGATGTATCCAAGAGTAACGTGAATAATCATCAATAAAATCAAGTACGACAGGGAAGTCCATATATCCGAATGAATTAATTCTTAAGGAAACTTTGAAATTGAAATAGTAAGCGAAAATGGAAGTTTGTGACTTTTTCCTAGAGGACAAGAATGACATGGGGCAGAAGCATGGCCATGAATTGGCAATTTATTCCTAGCAACTAAAAACTTTAAAATAGAAACAGAGGGATGCCCTAGTCTAGAATGCCACATTGCATCAGACACACGACCACCAAAATATGCAAAGACGCCATGATTGTTTTTGGATGAAAGACTAGAAAAAGGATAGAAGCTGTTCTTAGTCCAGCCTTACAAAAGGATCTTCCCTATTGTTAAGTCCTGACCACGATAAGAATGGGGATATAAGGTTAGGGAGCAGTTGTTATCCATAGTAAAACGATTTATAAAGATAACATTGGTTGAAGCATTGGGACAATATAAAGTGTTTAAAAGATTCAAGGTATGGGTGGGAGTGCGAATATGGGATTAACCAACTTCACATGATGATTGCCCTTGTACTCTCAGGGATCAACCACTTATGCCAAGTTATTGGTAATATGAGCATTAGCTCCAGAATCAAAGAGCCAATTTTGAACCGGTGGAGCAGCCATGGGTGAAGAGTCATGAATAGGAACAGCAGCGGCATAGGACTGAAGCTTGGGAGCGGGAACACGACATTTGTATGCCACGTTCATACGATTGTAGCAGTTGATAGCAGAATGACCAGGCTTACGGCAAATTTGGCACTGAACACAACCATTGGGATTAAAAACATTACCTTGCGGATATGTAACACCGAGCATACCATCATTAGGAGCACGAGCCTCTGGCTGTTGAAACATGCCATGACCACGTTGAAAATGACCACGGCCGCCACGACTAGCACTAGCTTGAAAACCACGACCAACAGCCTGAAAACCATGCCCTGTATCGGCCTGAAAACCAAGGCCTCCACATCTAGCAACAAGGCTAGTAAGAGTAGCATCAATGTTGAACATAGTGCTCATCGTTTGGCAACGTTCGGCACCGAGAAGTAGAGCTTCCAAAGCGCCATAGAAGATAACATCCTCTCAAGCTTGGGCAGACGCCACGGTACCTTCATACGCATGACCAATTATTGAGAACAATGGCCACTAAGTCTGAGTCTAAAACTGGAGACCCCGAGAAAGAGAGAGAGTGTGTGTCAGCGAGACAGTCTACACGATCCAAAAAATCAGCAATCGATGAATCACCGCGATGAGTGTTCATAAGTTCACTCCAGAGTTGCAAAAGACGACCAGTGGACGTCTAAGCATAACGCTCGTGGAGGAAAGTCCAACAGAGCGAGAGCTAGTTTTGCCAATAAGAGTGGTCAAAACTGTTAGGTGAACCGAACTATTGATCCATGATATGACCATGGCATCCTGCTGCATCCGGACTTCGAAGGCTAGGTTGACAGGGATGGTGAGATTTCCTGCCATATCCTTGAGAAAAGCCGAGGGACACATATTGGTGCCATCAACGAAGGAAACGAGGTTCATGCTACAAAGCAGGGGTAGGATTTGTGCATTTAAAAGAGGGTAGTCTGTACGATCAAGCTTGATCATCAAAAAATTAAAGACATTGGGAATAGCGGAAGTGGGTAGGGCAGAAGAAGAGGAGTCTGAGGAGGAAGAAGATGCTGACGAGGCCATTGGAAAAAAAAAAAAAAAATTGGTGTCTGTCATGAGACATTTTAGTTCTATGATACCATAAAGGAGAAATAATCACACACAAAATTATAAAGGCTAAAATAGTTATTGATGCTCAACTCAGTTAATTCTAAGAGAGTTTGTATGTTTGTATTTATAGAGATGAATTACATCAAAGAGTTACGAGAAGAACTAATTACAAATAACTATTCTATATAAATCCCCAAGTATAGGAGATAATACAAGAGTATATCAGCTGAAGAGTTGAAAAGAAATCACAATTTGTAGCAGCAACATCTTTAATGGAGGAGTCACAGCAAACAACGAACTTATGGTTTATCATTTTCTTTATCAAGATTCAAGGGTAAAGGCCATGAGTTTTGAGTTAGAAGAATGGGCTACTTTTTTGCTGTATGGGTTAAATATGTTGAGAATTAAGCTTCTCGTAGGCTAGAAATCAACCTGCAGATGACAATCCTGCACATGAACTTGAAGAAATCGAAGAAGAAAGCAAGTTTCATAAGTTAGTAGTAGTCGTTATGTTTGAATGTCCAACGGCTAACTTAGTTTCTTTTTAGGAAAGTTTAGCAGCTGAATTTGTTCTTATCTCCTTGATTGCACTGTGTTGTTGGATCCTTTCCTAAGTGGAATGATCCTAGCTCCTGAGGCTCTAGACGGCTGAGATTGATCCCTGAAAAATAGGACCTTTTTTAGCCCTATATATGTTAGGGTTTTGATGAATGAAAGATAACAAGAATTACTCTCTCTCTCTCTCTCTCTCTCTCTCTCTCTCTCTACCTCTTCTGTAAAGTTTTGCTCTTCGAGTTTCAGATTTCCAAAACCAAGGTTTTCATACAAATTAACCCTAAAGATCATGGTTTGGTACCATTTCAACATGGTACCATTCAAGAAGGCTGACTTCACCTCTAACTGGAATGGGAATATTGCAAACAAAAAATGGCGTATTTATTCACCAAAGCAAGTAAGTCCTTACTTGTGAAATTTGGCCTCTAATATTGCAAACATGTATCTATCCCTCTACCTATTGGTGATAAACTCAAAAAAGTGGATGGAAGTGAATTTGCTGATGAAAGCATGTACAAGAAAATTGTAGGAAGCTTACTATATTTGATAGCTACTAGGCCAGATTTGATGTATGCTTCCAGTTTGTTGTCTAGATTCATGAACAGTCCTACAAAGTAATATTTTGGAGTTGCAATGAGGGTCTTGAGATATGTGTAGGGCACACTAAGCTATGGCATTATGTAAAAGACAAATAAGCAATATTAGTTGGATTATGTGATGCAGACTGGGCAGGAAGTGAATATGATAGCAGAAGTACCTCTGACTAAGCATTTAGTTTTGGAAGTGGTGTTTTCTCTTGGACTTTTGTGAAGCAAAATACAATTGCTTTATCAACTACAGAAGCTAAGTATGTCTCAGCAGCAAAGGCCACAGCTCAATCTATTTGGTTAAGATTTGTGCTGGATGATTTTGGGAAAATGCAAACTAATGCAACCCCTTTGTTTTGTGATAACATGTCAGCAATCTCCATAATGAAGAACCCTATCTTCCACCAGAAAACAAGACATATAAATAGGAAGTACCATTTTATAAGGGAAGCAATCATTGCTAGAAGGAGTAATTGATGTGAAGATTTGCAAAAGTAAAGAATAGGTTGCAAACATTTTTACCAAGGCATTATCGAGAGAGAGATTTAACTATTTAAGGTTTAAGCTTGGAGTGAAACCAATGAGCAACTTAGGAGAGGCT